ATTTTTTTTGTGACACTGCTATCACCATCTCCTATATTAATTAAATAACAACCCGTAAAAATAGACTGCTTAAATTAGTAATCTAGAATTATTTATACACTTTACCAATTAACTTATTATATTTTAAGCCATGCATATTTACACTTTGTAAAAAACCCTCAACAATAGCATCAGACTCCATTGAAGTTGAAGATTTACTCCAGTTTAAAAAGCATAAATGGCTAGGTGCTGCTTCTTTTTTTGTTCTGGCTCTTTGGCAAACACAACAATATCTATTTCTTATACCAATAAATAAGACTTTTTTGGTTTGCAAGCCTACAATAAATTTGTTTAAAATTAAGTCANATAATTGCAGCCTACAATAAATTTGTTTAAAATTAAGTCTAAAATTTAAAATTCAGAACATTTTATGATCTTTAACAAATAAAAATATTAAATAAATCCTACAGCTCCTGAAAAGGCGTTGAATTTTGTTTTGTAACTTCTTTTGGACCATTGGCCATCTGCAATAACTGTGCATAATGGTACTCCTTTGTCATCAACATTGTCATNTCCTTTGTCATCAACATTTCCTCTCTCTAGCGCTATCCTTCTTTCTTCTTCACCGGCACTTTTCATTTCTTCTATTGCAGAATTATTAACAGAATCACTTACGTTATTCAAAATTTTTATGTATGATGTTGATGATAAAGCGGGTATTTCTGCTGAAGCACTAAACTCGCTAAGTTGTGTGTATCCTATACCTACACATAACAGCATGGTCAAATTATTTAAGCTGACAATTTTGATCAAATAGTTAGGAAAAAATTCAATTTTTGTAAATTTAAAAAAATGTGTAATAAAATTAAACGTACCAATCGCTAATGTACCATTTACAATGGCTTGGTTAATTTCTAAATATTTATTTTCGTTTTGGTTTTCAGAAGTAAATGATGACGTAGTACCACACATTTTACACTTGAAGTAAAATACAGAGTTATAACCTTTACGAATTTCGTTTTTGAATTCCATATCTAAAAATGAGCAGTCGAACTTACCATGTTTACTATTTTGTATTTGCTTGAATAAATGCTTGATGTCAACATTTCTCCGACCTTCGAGACAACTAATAATTTTACATAACACCAGTAATTAATTTGCAGCTTTTTTAAAACGATGAATATTTAAAAATAACATTCGAACTTACTTAGTAGTGGCTGTATCATTATAATTACAATTTTCATTTTCAAGTGATAGAATATGATTATTAATTTCCGAAATATTCAGATCAGAAATGTTACTCAATGCTTGTTGAGGATTGTCATCAAAAATAATTTTATGCGGTGTATTACACTCTCGCAGAACAGGATTATTTGCAGTTAAATCCGAGTCATAATTTATTTCTCTAAAATTATAATCATTACTGAAGTATCAAAACGTAGACGCAATATATATTTTTGATACTTACATTTTCTTTTGTCTCATATTTCTCATTTTTTGAGTCATTTTTCGTTTGCTACTTTTTAAAACGCGGGTTTTTGTTTTGTACGGGGACATAATCACAACAATTAAAAAAAAGTAATAACAACACAATACAAATTAAAAACTATTTCAAAAATATTTACGTAATAACAACAGTCAAAAATTCATATAATAATCAAATAATCGCTTGCATCAGGTTATAAGAACCTTCTGAACACTAATGATGAAAAAGTCTAAGTTAGAGTCTATTTCTTACATTCAAAAAAAACTTACTCATAAAGATGATTTTATCATTTTTATTAGTTCAGGAAACGTAAATTGATGGAAGTAGGGAAGTTCTTATATTTTGGTAATATATATTATTTTTGGTATAAATAGGCCAATAATATCTGGTTGCTTAAATAATTATCGTCATTGGATTAAAATAATTCAAATGTTTATTATTTGGCTAAATAATTTATTTTTTTATATATATTTATATACACGTTATATTTCATTATTTGTATATTAAATACTAGGTTGGCAAGATATACTCGTAAAATTTTATTGTTAATTTTTTAAAGTAGAACAATAGTCAAGCAAAATTTTGTATTTATAATTTTTTAAATAAATATTTTAATACATTTTCAAATCTTCAACTTTGAATCGGATAAAAAAATACAATTGTTCTGGACAGAGATGGCTTTTAGAGGGGCTAAGGGGCTGTTAAGAAACATTGCGACAATGAACGTTTTAACAGTCATTATAACTTTAAAAGCTCTTAGCGGATGGGCAACCGCGAATAAGTCTTTGGCAGCTAAAAAACCAGTATCCAAAAAATCAGAGCTTTTATATAAAATAAAAATGATCGAAATCAAAGCACGCAAAGTGCTATCACTTGAAAACGGGCATTTGCCATGTCTCTGCTCTACCAGTAGTAACATTTTTATTCACCTTGATATTTTCGATAGCAAGAATCGATAATTGTAAAATCAAATGATGCTTTACAGTTTTATATGAATAAAAACTCCTAAATTTTCTAGAATTGAAACAGCCACTTTAATAAGTTATTAAGATAAGGCCGCGTCAATGACGATAATTTTACGCTAGTGGTATGTTTGTCCGCTCGACCAAAAAGCGTTGTTTTTTACAATTATTTTGCATTTTTACATAAACTTATAAATCATTTAATCTTGTTAGTATTCATCTTAGAGTTTTGAAATTTTGAGGAGGCAAAGAATATAACATTTAGAAATGTTTGTAATGAGCTTTTTAAGATATCACTATTCAGCAATGATTTATTGCAGTTAAAAAAAAAAAAAATTGATTTTTTAAAAAATTAATTACACTCAAACTAAAAGTCCCCCCCAAAAAAGCCTATTACAATCATTTCGAAATAATGTTTTTTAAATATCCTCAAAATATCAAATTTCTACGATCACTTTAAACCGTATAATAGGAATTATACTTTTGATCATTTTCAAGCCTAAAATTATGGCGGTGTAGCGTCCTCTTAAGTAAATAATTACCAGGCAGCTAAATATTATCACCGTATATTTTATACACTATATATATATATATATAAATACAATGCCAAAAAACAATGTCACGACTGCTTCTTCCGTGAGGACGTTGAAATATATTATGTTTAATTATTAGTGGCCGCCGGCCCGGACCGGTTCACGCCACCCGGTCGTCCTCAAGGAAAACAACTGGTTGAACGCTACCAACAAAGCGTTCCAAACCTTCGCCGGAACTGGACTCACTCCCGACGCCACTTGGTGCCGCGGTGGTCACCTGGCTGGTTGACGCACCCGTGGTGTTTTTCGGTCGAAACCGGCCATGTCCGTCCCGTTAGCTGTGGCGGTGGTTTGCTTCCAGCCTGCCCTGTGCCGGCTGAATAAATCGGGCGGAGGTATGGCCGGGTCGATGTCGCCGCTAGTTTGACCGCCGGCTAGGTTCCCCCTGTTCCGCACGACGTTCCGTTAAGCCCCGATCGAACGCGGCCCATAAGAGGGGCTGGGACCGAAGTTCCCCAATCCCCGCCGTACGGACCCGTTCTCGAGTCCAGGTTGGAAGTTCCGTGTACTCTTCCCCCAGCAGTGCCGCCACTTGCCGCATCAACCTGCGGGCTTGCTGCCGCATGAGATTAGCGGTTTCGGCCGCAAGTTAACGAGAGGGCCGAAAGGGGTGGGGCCGGCTTCTTGACTCTGGTTGCCGGACATGCTGTAAAATAGAAAATTTATTAGGATTACCTCCTGAGGCGTCATATTTCATGGCGGTGACATGCATCTTTAACTGACGCCTTCCTTTAGTCACAAACACTCCCTCACCTAGCCTTTTGGCTAGTTTCACTGGCCCCAGCCATTTAGGAGCAAAGCCGGCGTGAAACTTTATCAGCGCTGGATAAGGGATGCGCGCGATAATACACCTAATACCCTTCCTCAAAGCGTCTGCAGTGATTTTTGGGGGATAACTTGTGACCAATATCTTTTTTATCGGAAGATAACCCGATTTTTCGTGAGGGTTGTTCCCCCCCCCCCGAAAATTTTCGTTTTCCTACTGAAGACACCGGAGTTTTCGGTTATCACACCGGAGTTATTGTTATTGTCTGGAGTCTTTACGGTAATAATATTTTTCTGTCCGGTCATTTCTATTTGTTTCGGGTTTTTACCCGTAGAAATAATGTCCAGCAGCCAATCGCCTGGGGCTTTAGCTTCTCGCCCAAAGGCCCGCTCAGAGGGAGTGCTCCCTGTTAGCCTGTTCCGACGATTTCTTATTGAAAAAACTATATTCGGAATACAGCTGTCCCAGTGACTATGTGGTTTGTCAAGCAAAGTTGTCCGAAGATCTTTTTTTAAATCTTGATTTCGGCGTTCTACCGGGTTTGCTCGTGGATGGTAAATTGGCGTTGTCCATCCTTCTGTGCCCCGCTTCTCCAGTGCTTTCTCCATTGTTTTGGAGACGAACTGTGTTCCATTGTCTGAGAAAAGTACTCTAGCATAGCCGAAACGTGAGAAGAACTCTCATTCTAGAGAATCGTCTTAGCGGTGGCTTGCCCTAGGGAGTATGCTTCTACCCATCTACTGTAGCAGTCTGTTGCTACAAGTAGTCAAGTCTTACTGCGTTGATCTTGGGTATGGCCCCATGAGATCAATACTAACAACCTCCCATGGTTGGCGGAGCTGTCTTGGTCATATTGGGTCGTCTTGCTTCCGGTTCAGCGGTTTAACTTCTCTTTTTACCATACGTTTCTTCCGTGTGTACTCCGTTTTTCCGGATTTAATTGCGGCGAGCTGCATATTTTTACGCTTCCCCGGTACTTTTTTGGGTTCCAGGTCGGAAGCTTCGGTACCATGGTTGCGTTTGCGGTACTTTGGGCGGGCTAGTTCTTCTTGTCCGGCCGGTTTCCCGTGAACCGTCCGGAACTCTTCCCGTGTCTCGTACTCGCCGTATTTCTTTCCGGGCAATTCACCCACCAGTACCCAATCCGGTTGCAGTTTTTACAACGTGCCACTCCTGACGGGCTTTTTTCCGGTGTAATAACCTCTTTCTCCGGTGGCGGTTTCTTATTTGCCTATTTGAAGCTATTCCCTTCCGCGGAATACTTCTTTTCTCCGGGCCGCCGTTTCGGAGAGTGGTCCTCTACGTCCAAGTCGCTAGCCAGCACTAGCAGATCTTCCATTGACCTCGGGCGTCTAACTCTTGCATGGACCCGGAAGTCACTGTGCATAAGCCCTATGATTAGGATTACCAACTCGTACTCTGTGAGCCTTGAGTCGAGACGACGGGATAGCTGGCTCTTTTACATTACCAACTCCCCTAGGGATTGTCGCTCGCCTTGGTGAGCACTGTGGAGATCATTGCGTACTTGGGTTAGTATAGCAATGCTATTGAACCTCCTCAAAAATTGTTGCCGGAACACTGTCCATGTGGGGTTCAAGCAGCGTATGGTACCCCACCAGTTACCTGCCTCTGCTATTAACTGTGGGGACAGTATACGTACCTTTTTCTGGTGTGGTACGTTCGCTTCGATTAGGACCAATTCAGCCTCTTCAATGAAAGCGTTGGGGTCCTCTTGTTTCTTTCCGGAAAACTCCGGCAGAGAATCACGCGCCAACGTTGAGAAGTAATTTCTATGGTATTGTTCCGCCGAAGTATTCCGTAAGTCACCGAAGAACTGATTTGCACTCTGAAGTTCCGGTGGGGGGATGGGAGGTCCTCTCGAACTGCTCGGTCAGAAATTTCCGGGACGGCCATCTGCTCACCCCCTTCCGATCGGAGTTGTGACTTTTCGGGTCTGTCCGCTGTAACTCGCCTAAGCATGAGGTGTGGCAGCAGAGTTCCCCTATTGGTACTGCAAAGTACCCCCTGTACTTCGCAAGAAGACAAGTTGACTTGCTTGATCAAGTCGTTCAACTTTGTCTCAAGCTGAGCAATGTGTTCGCGCTGTTGGGCGACTATTGCTTCCAGCTCCTCGTTCCGCTTGGAATAACAACATATAAGTGTCATATGACAGTAACCAGCTGTCTCGGTCGTCTTCGGAACGGCGTTCGTCATCTTCCGGTTAGGGATATCGTCATCTTGTGGCGGAGGATTACTCGGTGTCTCGGGGTGAAATTTGACGCTCGCCGCGTTAACCCCCTCTTCCTGCGAAATAACCAGTCCATTCATTTGGGTGTTTCAGGAGGCTGGATATCGTGCGAACTGCGCGTTCAACGCAGTCACCGCCTGGATTCAGCAGGAGTGGTCTGAGCCTCGCACTGGACAAGACCAAAGCGGTACAAGTTCACTCCTCAACGGCTTGCCTTGCTGGGGGTGGAGATCCCGCTTAAGGACTCTATGACTTATCTGGGCCTTGTTGAAAATAAAACAATCACATTAAACTTTATTGCAATAGGATAATTAGAAATAATTATTTTAATATTTGAAATATTCATTTCAATATTGTGATTGTTTTATTTTTCCGACCTAAAAAGAAAAAAAATTTTATAATTTTATAACAGTTTTAATGATAAAAATTATAATCGGTTTGAATAAATAATAAAAGACGAAATAAACTCGTAAAATTAAAAAAATATCACATAATTTGTGGGTTTTTTCGGTT